GTGAATTACCTATCCCCAAAACAAACTGTTGTGTTTACTTAAATTTAAAACACACACACACACAAAGAAACCCTCTGTGTGGTATCATAGTGGAAGGGAGAGATGATATAGCTGAAAAGAATTAATGGAAACTTTGGGGTGGCACTGGCTAACCTGCACGGCAGAATCCTTCTCTGAAGCAATTCAGGCCCCAAAGCAATTTTATCTGGCCCTTGAGATTTTGACAGACCAGTGTAGCAGGAAGGATTGCACAACAATTTTAATCCTTTATTACAGAGTTCACAATAATGATATACTTCTAGTCCCTGTACCATTATCTAGAAAATAGAGACCCTTGAGAATATGGTAAAGACCATCCCCAGCTGTAACTAAACAGTAAGAGACATACAATCTACAAACTCAGCTTGTTTACATTTTTAAGCATTGTGTAAGTTCACCAACATATCATTTTTTGGCCCTGGCCCCCGCCTGGTGGAACGCTCTGCCGGAAAATATCCGTGCCCTGTGGGAATTATTACCTTTCCGCAGGACACGCAAAGCAGAGATGTTCCACCAGGCATTTGGTTGAGGACAGTGTGAAATTTGGCACTGTAACCCCTCCCCCGAGGAGGCCTGAGGAAGCTGGATTTTTTTCCTCCCGCCATCTTGGAATGTGTATTTTATTTGTTGGTATGTTTTACGTATTTTAATGTTGGTTTTAAATTAACTATTTATTGTATTTTTCTGTTGTAAGCCGCCCTGAGCCCTGCTTGCAGGGAAGGGCGGCCTAATAAATTTAATTTAATAATAATAATAGTATTGTGCCTACTAAAATATGTAAAATTGCATTCTGCCTCCTGAGTAGATCTTTGAGTAATACAGGTTAATGACATTTCTGATGAAGCTAGTCGGCAGTTGAATTTATGAATAGTTGGACTCAATCCCACTCTTTGTTCTGTGCTGTATGAAGTAGGAAGAAAAAGACTTTGGTCTTATCTGTGGTCTCTATATTAAGGCTGTCAATATTTGCCCATCATTTGTTACTTTGCTTAGGGGTTCCTGCATGTACCAGTCTTCAAGTTCAGTAGCTGAATGCTGTTTACATTAATGCAGTACTGAGACTAATGATGAGGACTGACTTTCAGCCTTAAGGTAGCCCCCTACACCACAGGTCATGCCATTTACCACTGTTCCCCACACTTCTTTCCTTTGCATTGTATGGACAAAGAAGACAAATTGCCTTGTAGCATCTGAAAGACTAATATATAATGGTGTGTGAACTATAGCTTCCACCATCACGTGTTGGTGGCCCTTTCAACAATATGGCCCTGGGCAGATTTAATGCTGTTCAGGGATGAGGAATTAGGTTTAAGATTTAGACTTGGATCCAGCTGAGTGCTTCCAGGGATGGAAGGATTAATGCCCAAAGACTGTGATTTTCTTACCTCCCCCCCCCTACCCCCCACTGTGGCACAGAGCACCACATTTTGACTGCAGCAGGTTGGGGTGGGGCAAGTTGCCCTCTGTAGGCAGAAATCCTTCCTTTCCCTAGAAACACGCATCTGGATCCAAGCCTTAGGATCATACCCTTCCTATGTGTCAATTCCTCCCTGCTTCTTTCTGTGTAGGTTTATATCTGACCATTACTGATTCTGTTTGAAACTGCTTGAGTGAGTGTCCAAACTCCCTTTCATAACCCTGATTATTTATTCTGTTGCTCAGGGGAGTGTATGTGGCTCAGCCTCTCCCTGCATTTAATCCTCATAACAATTCTTCATGGTAAGTTAGGCTGAGAGGTAGCAGCTGCCCAAGATAACAAAGTGCGGGTTAGGGTGGAGTGGAAATTTGAACCTGGCTCTCCCTGGTTCTGACCCATCTCTCTAATCACTACACAGCACTGGCTATCCTGCATCTTATACTGATCCCATGGTCTATTTTGGGTCAGTTAACCTAGGACAGCATTTGCATCTGTGCTGAGCCTGTGTAATAGACATGTCCTGTGTATCAGTTACTAAAGTTATAGAGATGGCTTGTTCCATTGCCAAATGAGCTGGCTCAGAGATTGCAGGGTGTACTGCAGGGGGTTTCATTCTAATGGTTTGCCAATTAGTACTGTAGGCTGGTAGTATAGTGCTCACCTCTAACTACATTTTCCAGGTTTATTTTTTTCCTGGCGGGGCATCTGTGCCTCCTCTTAACCTGATAGACTGGAAGAGGTTTGCCTGTTACATTTTTATCACAGGACTTCTCCTTGTCAGGTGGTCTTTCTGCCTTTAGAAATTCTACCAGAAAACAATTTAGCTCTTCTTATTCATAAATAAATATGGCTGTCTCATCTCTGGCATTTCCAGTTGGGGTGTGTGTGTGTGTGTGTAGAGGCTTCCAAGGCTGGGGATAGGGATAGACAGTGTGGTGGGGTTAAGAGCAGTGGACTCTAATCTGGAGAACTGGGTTTGATTCCCCACTCCTCCACATGAAGCCAGATGGGTGACCTTGGGTCAGTCACAGTTCTCTCAGAACTCTCTCAGGCCCACCTACCTCACAAGGGTGTCTGTTGTGGGGAGAGGAAGGGAAAGGCGATTGTAAGCTGCTTTGAGACTCCTTCGGGAAGAAAAAAGTGGGGTATGAGAGCCAACTCTTCTTCTATCAGACGAGGTTTCAGTACTTAGTCTGCTATCGTTCCAAGTGAAATTGCTCTTCATAGACTCGTACACTTTTGGGAGAGGAAGGGAAAGCCGATTGTAAGCTGCTTTGAGACTCCTTCGGGTAGAAAAAAGTGGGGTATGAGAGCCAATTCTTCTTCTATCAGATGAGGTTTCGGTACTTAGTCTGCTATCATTCCAAGTGAATTGCTCTTCATAGACTCGTACACTTTTCTGAGATGCCCTGTAGGTTTCATATCCCGTGTTCTGTTTCTTTCTAAAGAATATTTCTGTTTTCCAGTCTTGAGAGGTTATTGGAAAATTCAACATAACAATAACATGGATCCAATTTGGGAAAGACGGGGGAGTAGTCTGGTGCAAGAGAAGCCACTGCTCTTAGTAAATTTGTATAGCATGTGGTGGGATGGAGAAGGAGCACAGTGGGGTTAAGACAGAAAGTTCAGTCGAGTGCTGATTTGAAGCAGTTAATCTGATTTGAGAACTGGGACAGAACTGGTTCAGTCAGGCTTTTAATACTGGTTGCCCAACAAATGACCATACATGTTCTAAATATGAGGGGTGCAAATATAAATAATGAGCATATGAAGCCCTAACTTTTTTGAGAGCTTTTGTGTGTGGGTTTTTTTAATTATTTGCCTCAATAGCAAGGAACAGATGCACTAGGCCACTGCAGCGGTGTGAACAGAATGGCCACCTGCTGCTTAAAAGCCCAAAAAGTGCACTTTGGGTCAGGAGCTGGCAACTGCAGAGCTATATGTAGTTGCATTCATCAGGAAGTCTAAACTCTCCCATGAGCCTTGGGCTTGGCTAGAGCCTTACTTGTATTGCACACTAAATGTGTGCAGTTGCTTTTGCAGTGGACCAGATTCAAAGGAGGGACAGAGTTGCTCCTATACCGCTGAGCTGAATGGGAGGACTTCCGGCAGGTACAACTTACCTTACACAGGTGAGAGCTCAGAATCTGTGCCTACTTCAGTGCAGCTATACAAGTTACAGGATCCCCGTCCACAGCGGAAGAGGGCTTTAAAAAAAGGAAAGCTGGGGATTCAGAGATGCTACTAGGTCATGGCAGTAGACTGCTGCTACACAGTGACATTATATCAATTTATCAGTCGCCTATTTTAAAAAAAGTGTTCTGGTGGCACTGAAGGTAAATGGTAGTTTGCTGGGGGGGGTTGGCACTGAGAAAAGGAAAACAGTGTGGATATGGGTGGGGCCTTCAAAAATACGCCCCATCTTGTCCTTCTGGTGTACAAAGACACTTTGTCTGTGATCTGTCCAAACCAGGTTTGGAGAAGATCACGTCAAAGCAGCAGAAAACAAACACCCCCCTCCCCCTGCATAATTAGGAGACAACATTTTTTGGGGTGCTTAAAAAAAAAAATGCTGCAGTTGGGATGCCAAGCCAGGATAAAATCTCCTTGTAGAAGTAACCTATAGTGCAAATAATAACATCTGGATTTTGGAAAGGGACATGGAGTGTTATGTGATGCTTGGGAAATCCCAGTTTTAACAAGGGTGGCTGTATGTTGCATGCTGCACAACAATGTTAATCCAGGATGTTTCTACACGTGAGTATCCCCAGAGTTAAGAGTAGTTGTAAAGAGTTGCGTGAAGAAGACAACTGGGCTCATGGAAGGGGTTGTCTTTACATCGGGCTTAACAGATGACCCCCTTGACAATCAGCTAAGTATGAAGAGCCTCTTTGGGTCCCAATTTATGCAGTAGTGGATCAGAGCATTTTCTTCTAATGGCACTGGGTAGAGTGAAGCCAAGCCTTATGCAGGGGAAAGCATGTTTCACAGTAAATGTATCCATCATGGAGCTCAGAGAGGTATTTGGATCTGACCTAGATAGCCCAGGACAGCCTGATCTCGTCAGATCTTAGAAGCTAAGCAGGGTCAGCCCTGACTAGTATTTGGATGGGAGACCTCCAAGGAATACCAGGGTCATGATGCAGAAGCAGGCAATGGCAAACCAGTTCTGAACATCTCTTGCCTAGAAAACTCTACAGGGTCACCGTGTCAGCTGTGACTTGATGGCAACCCCCCCCCCCCAAACAATCCACCTTTGGAGACAAGTTAAGCTGAAAGGTGGCCCTAAGGCTGTTTCATGGACTTGAGCAGGACTTGAACCAGGGTTCCCCAATTCCTGTCTCATCATTACACCACACTGCTTCCAACTACTGGTGTTGCAGTGCTACCCTCGTGATTGCTTTGTTTTACTGTATTCAGCCGCAGGGGGATTAAGGGAGATGGCACTAGGTCAGGTGCTCCTACTCCAGATCTTGCTGCAAGGTAAACATTGGGATTCTTTGCTGCCTACATCATTAACTCTTCTTCTCCTTCCCTTTTACAGCTTACCCCTGGGGGCAAGGCAGCCCAGGCAGGTGTGGGAACAGGTGACTGGGTGCTAAGCATCGATGGGGAGAACACCAGCACCTTGACACACATTGAAGCACAGAACAAGATCCGTGCCTGTGGGGATAAGCTTGCCCTCAGCCTGAGCAGGTAAGAGGCTCTGGGTGCTGCCCAAGTGCTGAACGTTTTTTAGTTGAGGGGGGTACCATGAATATAAGGTGTGTTATGCAACTAGGAGCTTACCTAACTGAGCCAGTATACTTCTGTCACACTCACTGTCCTTGGGATGACTTTGGCACCCAAGTACATCAAAAGGCTTAAGCACTTTTCAGAACTGTGTCTGGTTGAAGGGCAATTGCTTGTATCCAGACAGGTAAAGGGTCCGTGATGGTCATGAATAGAACTACCTAGTACTAATGTAAAATGTAAGCATCCTTGTTTGTTTTAACAGAGTGCCTCTTAACCCATGACCACTCTACCTTAAGAATAAAGTCTAGGAATTATAGAACAAAACGTTAGGGGGCTTAGCAGGATTTAGACCAGAGCTTCTGAATCCTCAAGGCAGAACTGTAGAATATTCTTAGGGTAAAGATTTATTGGGCAGAACTGAAGTAGAGACCAAATTGGGCTCATGTGAAAATAAAAAGGCTAACATGCTAACCAATTCATTATCTTTCCCCCAGTCCTCAATAGGCTAAATGATACTCCCATATTGCCAGGTTATCCCATATTGGCCTTCACTCACATGTCATAAATGCATGTGAGTGAAGGCCAAGCAAAGAGAGTGCAAGTTAAATGTCCAGTTACAGCAAGGGTTCAAGTTTGAGTTATGTGAGCAAAGAGAAACTGCTCTGATATAGTATAGTCTTCTAGGAGGTGTTTGGACTCCTCAGAGGAGAAAATTGACATGGGATCAAAACACTCTGATAAACTGAAAATGAGGTTGCTTAGGCTGGAATTTTTGCACCTCTCAACACATAGGAATGCAGCTGATTTCCCAGACATCTCCCAGCCAAAGCACTACACTGCAAATAAAACACTTCTGTATCCGTTTTTAGGCCTAATTTAAGCATGATGCTGATGATGCAGAATATACCTGTGTGACTCTGCATGGACTTAGTGTCTCATTTAAACTAGGCTTCCGTGTGTGCAAAGCTGGTCCAAGTTCTTAGGTAACCTTAAAAAGATCCATAACTTGGGCAGGCGTCCTGCTGGCATGCTAACAAATTATGCACAGCTGCTTGGCACAGCTAGTATTTCACTTAAACTGAGGGTCTGGGCCTGTGCAAAGTTACAGAGTTTTTCTCCCTTGCCATTTAAATCAGGCTTCCTGTCTTCACTGCAAGGCCATGTAGGGTGAATCATACTCCCTTGTCACAGTGAAGGGAAGAGCAGGCCACCAGGATACAGGCAAGATCCTGAGACTTCTCCAGAAAGCACAGTGAACCTTGCCTTGTCTGATTCAGACTGATTTCATGTTTCTTTTGTTACCTTCTAGTCTACCTTTCACAGACAGGCCTACAGAGTCACTGTTGCTGACTGGGTTGTGGGGAGAAATATGCCGAAACCTGGGGACTGATGATCTACTCCAAAATGACATGAAGTGAATAACAGTGTCTAGGGAAGAAGTTAGCATGAGAAGGCCTTGGGTTTTCATTCTACAATGTAAGAGTTTCTTGGTGGGTTGGCTAGGACAAATTCAGTCACTGAAACTACATGGCGAAGCTTTTGTGTGAATTAATGCGAACGCATCACATTGCTTCTTCTGCTACCCTTCTGGTGTCTCCAGGCATGGAAGGGACCAGGCCACTGTTGCCCTGCTCCTGTATGAGAGTTGCCTGTCCCCAGTAAAGAACTGTGAAAGGAAGAGTTCCGCTGTCTGTAATTCTGTCCCAGGGCAATTCCTGTCCTCCTTGCTCACAGCAGTTTTTCTTTTTCTCTTGCAGAGTCCAAAACCTCCTAGTCAAACCTCAGAAGGTACGTGCTTCATTGCTTCTTTTTTTTGGGGGGGGGAGTTCTTGCCAACCTAAAAGAATGGTAGTCGGGCTGCCTGTACAGGAGAGCTGTGGGGCAAATGGAAGGTACCTTGCTGGACTGTCCTACTTTGTTGGGGGGGGGGGTCCCCCGAGCTAGGTTTAAGTGGAACAAAGATATTGTACTAGCTGGAGAGAGAGCTTAATGTTAAAAACAGGTGATTAAAAAAACTCAACTTGTGTTAGGAGGGAATATTTAATACCAGTTATAAGCTGCGTAGTCGGGGGGGGGGGGGAGAACCTCTCAGTGAACATGTCTGTCTTTGGTTCAGAAGATGCAGGGACTCCACTTCTCAGCTTAAGGCAGAAATTCCAACTCCATTAAATAGTCCTTCAGAGAATGGAGATGGAAGACTGAAATGCTCTTCAGTTTCTTGAACAATGCGTTTTCCAGGTACCCATTACTACCTTACCTCTCCCACCTCATTTTGGTGACATCTCTCCCTTTGAGTGAGCCTTCTTCCTGGGAGCCTCTTACCCGCATCTCTGCTTATGAAGCCAAAGGAGGCATTGATGCTGTGCTGTCCCAAGCCTCCTAAATTTTTCTTGCCATTAGCCTCTCCTTCCGGGACCTGGAATAGGTGTGTGTCAGAGGCAAGGCTGGAGCTGCCAGCCTTAACTGAGTTGGAGCAGCTGATCCACCTTCTTGCCTAAGAATCCATTTTAAATGCTTACCATGGATTTAGGACAGTAGAAAAACCCCCAGGTGGTCAGGATGTGCACAGAAAACTGGTTGTCCAAGATCGTTGCAGGGCTGTCTCTTAGCATTACCATTTTACTCTCTAATTGGAAGTGTCCCTGCTAAGTTTTCAGTGTGGTCAGTGGAGGGAAAGGAACTAGCTGGGCAAAGAGTAGCAGGTGGAGAAATTGATATGCATGGTTTTATTGCTATTTCATGTCACGACATGTGCTCAGGAAAACTGCCTAGTTCCCCCCCCCCCCCCCCCGTCTAGAGTTTTTGCTTCTGCTGTGGTTGTCAATGGGGGTGGTGCTGAATGGGGGGGGATTCCTGTTTTGTGTTGATCACACACTCCTTGAGCGCATATGTGACACTGGGGTACTTGTTTTGACTGCAGCCAGCCCACAGTGTTGATGGCTGAAGTGATTACCCTGAACCTAGTCAGATACTCCTGTGGCCTGAACGCAGCCTGGCTTCCATCTTAGGCTCTGCAGCCTCTGGCACTGCCTGGCAATTGGGTGCTCTAGCATGCAGCCTACCGCATCAGCTTGGGTGTTGTGTGTGTTTTGTCTTCTGCTCAGGATTCACTCCCTTCCTCAGAGCCCCTGAAATATAACTTTGCTCCCAGCACTGCCCTCAACAAAACAGCCCGGCCTTTTGGGGCCACTTCCGTTCCAAACTCCCTGCCTGGGCTGGTGACGAAACCTGTGCTATACACTCCCCCAGCGTCCATCTGCACCACACAGCACAATGGGTATGTTGCTGTGCACCCTGGTTAATGGCTTTTGTGGTGGGATGCGGGTGGGGTAGAGTGACATCACTGTAGAGCTCTGGTGCACTGTCCTGTCTACACACCGTCCTGTCTGCCCATACTCTGCATGCGTGATTTTAAGGGTGGGCAGTGGGTGGGTTTTGGTGGCATCCCCCTCTGAATCTGATGTAGATCTTAAACAGCTGATGTTGCAGTGACCTCTGGTGGCTGGAGCTAACATTGCAGTGACTTGATTCAACTGTCCTGCTGTAGAATTTTCAGTGAACTCTAAAGTGTTTGATTGAAATCAAGACTTTTAGTAGCTAGTCTTCCATCAAGTTGCCCCCCCCCCACTTGTAGTTTCCCTTTGCCTCTTCTGTACAAAATCCTAGGCAACAGTCAAGAGCATGGTGCTAAGTACCAGCAGTCTTAACATGTACTACTTTGCATGCTAACACAAAGAAACTGCTAAGTGATAGTATCTTGGCAAGTAGTCTACAACGTGTGCGTTGCTTGCAGGTCATATATGGTTGACTTACTTGGAAAGCATGCATGTGATTCTTTATGAATCCACCTGTGAAATTCTGCACGCACGCATGCACTCACGCACACACACACATCCTTCACTTTGCTTTCCGGTAAGGTAGTCTATTCCAAAAGTGTTCTAAAACCTCTGTAGACTTGTTGTTGGGTCCCTGCTCCCAACACCATTGTGCACAAAGCAGACTATTCCTTTTAGTCATTTGTTGCATTTATATTCCACCCTTCATCTCAGAAGCTTAGGTTAGCATACCTGTATAGAATTATCCCACTTTCCCCCATCGCAACCACCATACGTAGTAGGTTAGGCTGAAAGGCCATTGGTTCACAGAGCTTCATTGCCTGAGTGGTGATTTGATGATAACCTCCAATGCTGTCTCCTTGAATTACCTGCCACTTGCAGGCATGTAAACAGAGGAGCCCTCCTGGGAAAGGTTTCGATGGGCAATCTCTGGAAGCTGCAGACTTATTTCTGTGCAAAATTGTGCAGAATGGGACCATCAGTGTGTGTGGAGTGGGGCAAACAATGCAGTCTCATTGGTTTCCATACACAGGGTCATGCTGCACATGCAGCATGTTGCATTAATATGCACTGTTGGTGACTCTTCGCCGAATGCAACTGGGATGCATTCTGGGTGCATTGAAACGGAGCGAGGCTGTTCTAATTTTGTTCCACAGATGTTTGTGAACCAAAGAGGAGCTGCAAAAAGAGATGCATGTAATTTGCAGCCCCGACCAGCTGCTTCTGACAATATGCGCTTCTCGTGTCTGACTACAGCTATGTCGTTGCCTGCCTCTCTAGGCTTGGGATGTTGCTGAATATGCTGCTGCTTTTTTTAGACAACTATTTTTAGCTGGGTGCCCTGAGGGTGCCCTGGCAGCTTTTTCAAGCTTACATGTGCACTAGATATGCTTCAATGCAGCTCTTAACCCCACAGTATACACTGAGACTCCCAACTGAGCCTCCCAATGTAGATGGAGCCAACATAGTGGATGTAATGTGCATGTTGGCAGGAGAGATGATGGGGCATTGTTCTTCTGTACCGCTTAGTACACAACATTGTCCCTTTAGAAATTGGAACTATGTGTTATGGTGAAGCAGGAGAAGGGAGAGCCCTGTCTGAGCATATTTTTCTGTATTTGCAGAACTCCTAGCAAAAGTGAGGCTTCTAGGAGCTTCTTCTCAGCAGAATAGCTCTGTATATGTGTGTGTGCGCATGCGTGCATGGAACAGTTAAGCTGGTTCTTGCTTTTGGGGGGGGGGGAGGTATCAAGTCCTTTCCTGATGGAGAGGTTCACTGAAGCTTTACTATGCGTGTCCAGAAAATCAGTTTTTAAAATAGTTTCCTAAACTTGGTACTGGTTTGGAAGCATGGATGACATAGTAGGGAATTTAGTTGTGCCAGGATTTTTGTTCCCCAACAGGATACAGAAACGTTTTTTCGTTGTCTACTGGCTCTAAAATGTCCTTCTCTTTCCTGTCTGTCTTTTCTTCCCTTTCTCTCTTTCTTGCAGGTGCAGAACCCTGAAAAGTTAGTAAGCTTTTTGCCTGTTCTGTTCTGTTCTTCCACATCTCCCATACCTTTGTTAAGTTTGTGTGACCTAAGCCTAGTTTTCTGTTATTACTAATTCCCTGTCACATTTCTGGTTTCACTAATGTTGTACTCCCCGTCTTAACATATCAAAGGGAAGTGTGGTTGGGTAGGGGGTAGTCCTAAAATAAATGTGGCTTGGAGTGTGTATTTGGCCTGGTGCTTGGGAGAAAGGAGAGGCTGGACAACTTCAAGGCCCAGGATGGAGATGAAGGTGGTTGTCTGGTCTCCCTTCGGGCCAGGCCTGTAGCTAAATTGGACATCTCGGGGCCCGGCCCCCTGACTTACCACCAAGGTCCCACGACTCCTGATCCAGCCCCCCTTTTTTTCATGCTGCAGTTAATGGCTAGGCGACATTATTGCCCTCACTGAGCCCGCCTACTGGAGCCGAGCCTGCCTGCTGGAGTCCTGCAGGGCACAGGAAAGTAGTAAAGTGGTGGCGGCAGGGTGGTCAATCCAGCACCCCATCTCCTGGTTTTCATCTGCATTGTGAATCACAGTGCAGCGAAAGCCGCCACAGCAGTGGCCGCGTGCCTCCCTCCCCACCTGCCCCATGACCCCTGACTTTTTAAAAATTCCCCCTGACTTAAAAAATCCTGGTTACACCCCTGCTTAGGGCAAAGGTTGAGCCTTCTTGGCTAGGTTATGCAGGAATTCATCTGAGCATCTGAAGTAATGAGGCCTGTTTGGGGGAGAAGGGAGCCAAGTGAATCATAGTTGCTGCCCTGAAGTTAGAGGCTACACTTTGTTTTCTAAAAACTCTTCTTCTGGTACTTCCACATGAGGGGGTGGGGGTCATGATTCACTCCAGAGAGTGCATCTGATTGCCTGACCAGATAAGAGGGAGGGAGAGGTGCTGAGCTGGCATTGTGTCTTGTCGTCTTTACTGCACAGTCAAACAGTTGGGGCCACACCGGGCAGAGGTGTGACTCTTTATTCTGCTTTCCTGTGGTGGGGGTGGTGTTTCTTACCTGACCCTTTCTCTTGATACTCTTGGCCTCAGAGTTAATGCTGAGCCCCCTGAGGTGAAAGCTCCACCCCAAACCAATCCGGCGCCTGATTATGGTGACTACTACCTGGAGGACAAGTAAGATTGTGGAGCGGGCAGTAGCTGCATCTTGAGACATTCTGTTGTGTTTCTTGCATGCTGTGTTTTTTTCCCTCTGAGTGTGCATCCCCTTCTATGAGGTTGCTGTGCAGCCATGAAAGTGAAGAGGAGCAGTCCTTTCCACAACCACAGGTGGAATTCAGACTTGTAGGTTAGATGTCCCAACCCCTTCATTTGAAGCAGATACCATGTCACAGTACTGTATGTGGGAGTGTGTGTTAAAGATTAAAGGATATGATGCTACAGTTATATCAGAACATTGGCATATCTAGTTCTGGTATTGTCCGTTTTAAGTTAGGTCCAATGCTCCCTCTAAGCTGTGGAGTCTTGTGAGCAAAAATTCTACTTTGTGAGCTACTGGCATTAAAGTTGCGAGCGAGCAGTTTGGCTGCTGCCATAAATTAGTGTGCTCTGGAGCCATCTTTCTTGAGCCAAGAGAAAAAATGTGTGAGCCGGAGGCTAAAGAACCGTGAGCTAGCTCACACTAAGTTTAGAGGGAACACTGGTTAGGTCTAAGAGTTGCTGTTATCCATGGTAGCTCAATAGAACCTCCATGTCCAGAGGCAGTGAGCATTCATGTACTCTTCCTGTGACAGAAGCAGTCCAAGGTCTGGCATTGTTCTTTCTCAGTCTTACTTAAAAAGCCAGAAACTGAACATGGGATCTTCCATACATATCAGACCAGTGCTCTAGAGTTATAAGGAAGACCCTCTTTATGTTCAAGGCTCAGGAAATTTCCTTGAGACTCTAGTTTGGAGTGGGTATGGATTCTCTCTCATTTGCAGAGCAGGTACCCTTTTAAGCAGTGTTTTTGGCTTAGTACAATTAATCACCCTAGACAAGAGAGCAATGTGGATGGACTTCAGAGATTCTTTCACTGCTACTGTAGGGCAGTTTACTTGATTGCGGTGATTTGTTTTCACCTTCAGAGTTGTGAAACCATGGCTGTATCCCGGTTGTGGCTAGCTTGCGGGCGTTCACGTCTTGGGCTCCTTGCTTGGTGCAGTGTGTGAGTGTATGCCTGGCAGCTGCCCATTCTAGTGCAGCCCTGGCTGAGTGCCCTCGTCTGTGTTTGTAGGCACTCTCTCCGGCTGATGAGCCTGCCGGCCTTCCTCCCCAATGACTCCAGCAAAAAGAGACTTATTGAGGACACAGAAGACTGGCGACCGCGGACTGGCACCACCCAGTCCCGTTCTTTCCGCATTCTGGCCCATCTCACAGGCACAGAGTTCAGTAAGTTCCCCCTTCCATGGGGACCACTTTGAGCGCACTCCTCTCTCATCCCCCCCCCCGTCTGTTGCTGAAGCAAATGTTCTACACCCATCGGCATTGGGGGGGGGGATGTTGCTGTGGGCCCTGGGAGGCTGGGCCAGAGCGTCTCCTCTTCCGTGAGCACTCTGGAGCCTAATCAGCAGCAGCCAGCTTGTGAGGACTCTGCAGGAGGATTGCCCTGCCGCCAGAGTCAGGAGTGCTCTCCCCCCAGGACACTTGGCCTCATTCAGATTCTGCATGCACGCGCACACAGTTCTGCAGGCACCTTGGTCTGCCTCCCTGTAGACATTGCACATGTCCAGGTCCTGTGCCCTCTAGGGAATGTGCTGTCCTTCTGCCTTGGGTTTTGCTTTCTGTTCCTCTGTTAAGAAACCTTAAAACAGCCTGGCTGGTTCAGACCCATGATATTCTCTTTCTCCTTTCCTTTTGCTGTTGCCAGTGCAAGACCCGGATGATGAGCATATTAGGAAAGCCAGGTAAGCCGTGCCTGTGCAGGGCTAGGAGAGTGTGGGGTTTTTGCCCTGGCGTATGGTAGCTTTCGCTCCCTTGAAGTGCTAGATAGGGAAGTAAAGGCAGTTGCTCAGTTGGCAGCCCTGCTTCTCAGCGGTTGTGGAAGGCCTTGCCAGGATAATTGCACCACTCAGCGCTTCCTACGGAGAGGGGGTGGAAACATTCCTCCTGGTGTGTCTGGATTTCTCATGTGTGACTGTTCCAGGAGCTTGAAAGTGTAAACGTTGCATTTCTGTTTCTGACTCTATTTTTTTCTCCTTTCACTTGTCTGTCCTTCCTGCCCTCCTCCTCTCGTTTTTCCAGAGAAAAGTTTGTCTCGGAGCTTCAGAGCCCCCGTTACACTCGCCTGCGGGACTGGCACCACCAGCGATCAGCTACCTCTCTGAATGTGCTCTCCTAAGCAGGATAGGATCCTGTCTTCCTCTTCCAACTCTGCCTCTCTCTGTTGCGTGCATATGTTGTGGGGAGGGCACACTTCTGTCTGTCTCCTTCTAAAGGCTGAATGAAACTTAAAAACTATAGGAATCCACGACAGCTCCTGAAATGTAGTGTTTGACCTGTGCTGGAGGATGAGAAGAAACCCGATCTAGGCAGGAGGCTCCTGCTGGAAGGCCTGTAACTCTCTGCTTCGTGTAACAACACCTTGAGTTGCGTGTGCAGAATAAGTTGCAAGCTCCAGACTTAGCCCCCTGGGCAGGAGCGCTGGCTTCCCCCAACTCTAAAGATGCTCTGGCACTAGGAAGTTGTTCCCCCTGTTCTGAATAAAGAAAGATGGCTCTGAAGCGGCTGTAGAGCTCTTTGCCCCCCCCCCCGCCACTGAAGCTCACTTGCGTGTATGATTGGCGGAAGCTGCCTGTACAGGATGGCCTCACCCTTGGGGCGGCCTCCTTTCATGAGCGGCCATATTATTTATCCTTGTGGACTCAGGGGAGACTTCTCCAGCCCCCATGTTTGTTTGGTAGAACTCCTCAGCATGGTTGTTTATTCATTTCCCCCCTTGCCTGTTTCTCAACGGCGGGTAAATGAGATGAAACAAACAAAATTACTCTCCTGCCAGTCTTGTCCTCCTCTGTGTAAGCAACTGCTCAGTGCAAATGACATTTTTGTCCTGACTTCCTTTCTACCTGTTCAAGCCTTGTGCACTCTTGTCTTGATTTCAGTGGCTGGGAGGTGTTTGCCACTGTCCCCCTGCCTTGAGACAAGGGGAGGGTGTTTCCCCTAAATGACAGAGCTATCCATCCTCCTCTTGAGAAGAGCATAACTCTCTCCATGTTGAGCATTAGGGATTTTTCATCCTTACATTTGGGTGACTGCAGTCTGCCTCAGGTTTGCAAAAGGCTTCCCTCACTTGGGTGATGCTTGCTGACAGGATGTTTGTGTTGAGGTTAGGGAAGATTCTGGAGAAATGAGTCGTCATCTTCTATCTGTGGGTGCCCATTTCTGTGCCTGGTATGCCCTGCGGCCCTGGGGCTGGAAACTCACATTGCCCCTTTCCCTAGAAAGAATGATATCAATGTTTTGACTATCAGCATAACATAACATTCAGCTGCTATCTGTACAGTGTTGTAATCCACCCACCCCCAGCTGCCTAAGACCTAATGTGCAGTTTGGGGGGAGATTGGATAAATACCTTACTATTTTGTAGTAAAATAAACGTTCTTATTCTCGTAACTGGCTCATGTCTTCCTTCTGGCAAATTCTGCAGAGTGGGTGGAGGAGGAGAAGCTGGAGTCTGGACTGGGCAGGGGAGGCAGTGGCAGAATTCTTACCTCTTTGGTCTGAGACAGCTGACCAAAGCCTGTTATCTCATCCACTTATACTTCTATGTGTTTTGTGGCATCCTGGTTTTCTTTTGGGAGTAGAAGCCTATTTACAGTCTAGCACTTGATCCTCTTCCCTTTTCTCAATACCTTAATTCCCAGAGAATCCTGAAATTCTCACGCCAAGCCCACAGTGTGTGGTGCTGGTTAAGGATATGGATGGTGCAGTGTGAGCCTTCAGCCTTTCCCCTCTATGCCCTCAGTTTGAGTTTTGCTAAACTCTTCTCTGTTGGTTTCGTTGTATCGTGGGGGGGAAAATGTTTGGGGGTGAGAGACATGCACAGTGCAAGCTTCGTGAGGTCTACAACAAACCGTCTGCCTCATGACCTCTATGTATAATATTCTTTTCATCCTATCTGAGAGAACCATGTTGGTATAGCTGTTGTTGAGCTGCACTATTTCTGACTGCAGGTGGGGAGAAGCATGTTTAACTATTCCCATACAACAGCAAAAATTCTCCATGCTGGTCAAAAATTAATATGGTAGGAAAGAATGTTCAGGCCTGACATTGTAGCTTTCTGTATGCAAGGAGAGACTTTTGTGTGTAGGTATGTGTTTGGGATACTAAGTGGGGCACGTTCCAAATAGAGCATTTTTCATGAACAGCCCTGTGTGATTCTCCTAATGTTACATTTCAGCTTTTCCTACCAAATGAAAAAAAATGGGAGGCCAGGGAGCCTCAGGTACATGGAAAAAGGCATTTGCCTAGTTGCACTGAAGAAGACACCTTTTGAGGATTAACCTCCATGTGGCCTGGCTGAGGTACCATTTCCAACAGCTGCATTGTGAGCCACCCTGGGACTTTTTATTGTGTAGATAGGAGGATATTGTCAAGAGACAATATCTGTATTGCCTTTGGAAGAAAGGCCAAGGAGAAGAATACATTTTTAGGCTGAGCCTTGGGTTAAACATGAGGTAAATCTTCTGAAGGTTTTTAGACTGCAGTTTGTCAAAGGATTGGATAGGCCTCTGAGAGGGATGCTTTGTGGGAAGGACCTGGTAGAGTGAAAGAGTTGTAGGCTCAGACAGCTGTACGGCTGTGTACTTGTTTCATCAGAGTAAATGATGGGATCTGAGTGCTTCTGGCAGCATGGATTAAAAAAACAAACACCCCATCTTGTGTGAGTTTATGCCAGAGATGAGCACAAAGCTGCTTCGTTGTAAGCGGCTGTGGACAGCTAGTACTGTGCTGTGTCTCAGTACAGAACAGATGTGTGGACAAGCAATGTAAGTAACTACTTGACCTCAAGTGCCTGGTTAAGGATGGTTCCTTCAGCTTGAAGTGTCTCATTCCTTGCTTATCTTCCATGGCACCTGCCAGAATACTAAGTGTCTCATGCAGGCCTGAACTACTATCTGGCAGACAGCAAATGAGAAGGTTCCAAAAGACCTTGGAGATGGTGATAACCCTTCATGCTGCTATTGTTATCTCAGTGCCCTTGCTTGTTCCAGTGACACCTGCTGTAACATGTGACCTATAGGAACTATCCCAGTAGGGCTAGGAAGGCAGCCACCAACAGTGGGTTACTGCAGAACAGGTGGCCCCGACCTTTTTGAGCCTGCGGGCACCTTTAGAATTCTGACGCGGCATGGTAGGCGCAGGTACACAATGCCTGCCACAAAATGGCTGCTGCAGAAGGCAGAGCCAGCCACAAAACAGATGTCACACAATGAAACTTGCATTCAGCCACACAATGAAGTTTCCTGTGCTGTGCTGCCTAATCAACATTTTTTTTTAAAAAAAATCTGTTTTAAAAATAGCCAATCAGAAGCCTTGCTGGGCAAAAGCGGCACCTGGCTAGCCCCATCCACTTTCTACGAACACTTAGTGGGCACCAGGAAAGGTGTTAGCCCCATGGTGACCCAGGGCACCATGTTGGGGACTCCTGCTGTATATGCAAGGAACAAAATGTATTTAATCTTTTGTAGTCCATCTTTCCTGTTGGTTGCTAACAAACTTTGCACACCATGTAATAAAAACCAGTAAAATATTTATTTTTTTATTAATTGAATTTATTAACCGCCCTCCCAGTGGGACCGAGTTCAGGGTGGTGTAAACAATCAAATAAAAGTCACATAAAACATTTTATTGTCAAACTAAGATAGTTCAGGTTAGAACAGTAAAACAGATCAGACTAAAACAGTAGATCTAATTAGCTATAGATGGCGCTAAGATCTTAACAGCACTGCTGTCTCATGAGGGGAGGGGCAAGGGAGAGGAAGATGGGAGTGCCAAGATGGGACCGCCACAGTCCTCAACCAAAAGCTTGGTGGAACATCTCTGTCTTTCATGCTCTATGGAATTGTAGTATGTCCTGCAGGGCGCAGATGTTAGTCGGCAGAGAGTTCCACCAAGTTGGAGCCAGGACAGAAAAAGCCCTGGCTCTGGTCAAGGACAGCTGGATGTCTCTCAGGCCAGGGACCACCAATAAGTTTTGATCTCCCAAGCATAGTGCCCTTCTGGGGGTATACCAGGAGAGGTGGTCCCAAAAGTATGTAGGTCCCTGGCCGTTAAAGGCCTTAAAGGTCAACACTATAGCCTTGAATCTGATCCAGTACTCCACAGGAAGCAAGTGTAGCTCACGCAGCACTGGATAAGTATGTGCTGTGCATGGTGTCCCCAGAAGCACCCGTGCTGCTGCATTTTGTACCAGTTGGAGTTTCCAGGTGAGCCTCAAGGGTAGGCCCACGTAGAGTGAGTCACAGTGATCCAATCTGGAAGTGACCATTGCATGGATTACAGTGGCTAGGTCAGGGCAAGACAGGTACAGGGCTAGTTGCCTAGTCTGGCACAGATGAATGAATGCCAATCTGGCAACATTTGTGACCTGGGCCTCCATCGTTAAGGAGACTTCCAGAATCACACCCAGACTCCTGATGATGGGGACCAGCCTGAGCGGCCCTCCATCAAGGGCTGGGAGTTGATACCCCACACCTGAATCTCCCAGACCCAGCCACAGAACCTCCATCTTAGAAGGATTCAGTCTCAGCCAGCTCTGCTTCAGCCATCCCACCACAGCCTCCAGCCCCTTAGCCAGATTTGCTGGGGCAGTGTCCAGCTGGCTTCCCATCAACAGATAAAGCTGGGTGTCATCAGCGTATGTACAATACGCATTGCAGTTTTTTTAAAAAAAATGACCTAGCTTTTTTCCATACACACTGAACTACAGTTTATTTATTTATTTATTTGAACTTTTACCCCGCCCTCCCAGCCAAAGCCTGCTCAGGGTGGCTTACAAAAACAGATAATTACATTAAAAGCATAAGTTATGATTAAAACAATTCCAAAACCATGATAAGGTGCTAGTAATCGTTATCCATAAACGGTAGCAGCCCTCATTCACAGTTCTTAGCTCACCATCAGCTCACGGTCTTCGTTTTGGTTGTCCCTGCAGTACTTGTTCTTTAGGCTGTTGATGGTAGTTTCCAGAATCCAGGGCCCTCTCCCATTCAACCATCCAGTGTTCTTCATTGGTGGTGGCAGCGGCTCCCAAAAGCCAGGCGGAAGAACTCGGTTTTACAGGCCCTGCGGAACTGGAAAAGGTCCCGCAGGGCCCTGATCTCCTCCGGGAGCTTATTCCGCCAGGGATGCCCTCCTGAACAGTTCTGTTTTACTCACTGTGTGGAATGATAGAAGCGTGGAAGCCTTCCTGACAGCCCACCAGGTGGGACTTAACAGCAGAGACTGCTCACTATGGGCCACTGCTGATCCCTTTGCAGGGTGTCACCTTCAGAAGGCTTTGCTCAGATAAGTGAAACTGTCTTAGTGGAGCACATCAAGAGAGGTGGGTCCAGGGTCAGGAAAAGACTTTGTAAATAATAACCAGCCGCTTGAACTGACCCCAGAAACGGACTGGTAACTAGCGGAGTGACTGCAGGATAAGGGTAATACGCATACTCTGCCTGCCTCTTGATAGTAAATGAGCTGCAGCATTTTGTACCAGCCAGCGTTTCCGAGTTACCTTCAAGGGCATTCACATGTTGGATGCACTACAATAATCTAGCTTTGAGATTACTGTGATATGGATCCTGTGGCCAGAATGGCTGGGTCCAAGTTAGAGAGCCATCCCCTGAACCAAGTAAAGACAAAGGGCAGCATCCCCCCCCCCCCCTACAGCTCGGTTAATTATCCTGCAATAATGCTGGGTCCAGTATAACTCCTAGCCTCACTACTGAGACAGGGTCAGCTGAACCCTATCAAATGGGGGGGGGAGCGTAATGATCTCCAAGATGTCAGCCATTTTGACCAGCATCACCTCTATTTTGCTGGGATTCTGTTTCAGCTTGTTTAGCCATCGTCATTTAACCACAACAGCCTTTCCTACCCCCAACTAAGCCTGTCCTTGTTTTCACGTTTTCCTGGCTCAGATTCTGGCTGTACAAGAGGGATTAAGTGCAGGGCTTTAGTGTTCCTGTGCAAAGCTCACTGTCCTCTCCTTTCTTTTGGGGTGAACAAGCTGAGCCAAGGAATGTGTGGGAGGTGGGTCTTCACTGCTGGGGAAAGGGGGAGAGGATTCTTTCCTTTAGACTTTGTCACACTTGGCCCTTCCCAGTCAGGGAAGGGAGAAAGGAAAGTGAATGCTTTCCTCGGTATGTGAATGGGAAGGTGTAAGGGCCCTGATTCTAACACTGATCTCCCTGGATAACCAAACCAGCCAATAGGGGTCACTGCTGCACAGTGGGCAATATTTTTGCTGTCCATCTACTGCAATAATCCCCTATTCTGACTGTCCTGGCTTCATTTCTCCTTTGGGCCATTTTGAGGTCTGGTATCTTCTCTGTCTGCACAAGGTGCCAGTCTCTGCTCGGGTGAAGGGGCACAGGTTTTTGGAACTAATTGGTTATTTTTTAGCCAGGTCTCCATACCGGATCTGTCTTCTGCGCCAGCCTTGAAAGTGGAACCTGGATATGGTAAGCTGAGAGGAACTGTGTTGGGGAGGGGGAAGAACACTACAAGGAGCTTGTAGTAGGGACCCTGAGCCAGGGGTTGGCTAGGGAAACCCTCAGGGCATGCACATAAGAAGATCCCTGCTGCATTGAACAAGGGATCCATCTAGTCCAACGCCCTGCTTCACACAAGGACCAACCAGTTGCCTCTGAATATGGAGACTCCCTTCAGTCACCGTAGCTGGTAGCCATTCATGGACTTCTCCTCTGTGAATCTAACTCCCCTCTAAAGCCAAGGTAGTCGTACCTGTCTCATTCTTAGAGCAATCTTTTGCAGCTTTAGCTTGTCTTCCATACAGGGCAGTTGGAAAACCTTTTCATTCTTTAAAACAGCCTGTTTATGTAAATGAACAGTGGCCAATTCTTCCCTGTCCAGGAGAGGTGGCAACCAGAGTATTTTTGATGAGTAGCTGAGTGTGCAGTTGTCCTGAGCAAGACTGCTCAGATCCTGGGTACAGAACCAAAAACATTGCTTTGCCCTCCCCTGCAAGTTTCCACTGGATCACTAGGGCCAGCATGTTGCTACGAACTTGAAATACCAGATGGCTTGTGTAACTGTTTCAGGCTCTGCTGTCCCAAAGCCTGCACCTGTCTCTGGCCCTGCCAGTCGCCCACCCTGGGCTGTGGATCCTTCCTTTGCTGAGCGCTATGCCCCAGATAAAACCAGCACAGTTCTGAGCAAGCACAGCCAGCCAGCCACCCCAACACCGATGCAGAACCGCAACTCCATTGTCCAGGCTGCGCAGCAACCACCCGAGAGCGCCAGCAAAACGCCCATCTGCTATCAGTGCAACAAAATCATCAGGTGAGGAGGTCAGGTGTGCTTTGGGGGGGGGGGCTTGCTGCTCCTCTCCTGTCCCATACTGCTGGGAGTCATGAACTGCAGAACTCATTCACATGTAACATCCTTCTCACTTGGTTATTGCGGATCACTTGACTGCTTGTAGAGGACTGTGTGAATTGACTCCATTGGAAAGCATTGTGTTTGAGGGGATTACAAGACGTCTGTTTGCGGGGTATGTGTGAATGGGCTGACACAGGCAAGGCAGTAGTCAAGTGTTGTGTGAACCAGGCCAGGCCTCAAATGTTTTCTCTGTTTATTGGGACTCCTAATCAACTTGTATCAGTTTGCAGTAAGTGAATCTCTTCCCTGACAATCCCAGATGGGGAAAGTTCTGTAATCTTTTCTCTTTTCCAAATGGGGACTAGACTGGGGTTCTCATTCTGCCCAGACTCTGGGAAAAGAGTTTCTCTGTCTTCTTTATCACCAGCCCCAAACGAATCCTTTCTCTTTACTCTCCACTAGGGGGCGTTACCTGGTGGCACTGGGACGCTACTACCATCCTGAGGAGTTCACCTGCTCCCAGTGCAGGAAGGTGCTGGACGAGGGTGGCTTTTTTGAAGAGAAAGGCTCCATCTTCTGCCCCAAGTGTTACGACATGCGCTATGCCCCGAACTGTGCCAAGTGCAAGAAGAAGATCACAGGAGTGAGTTTAAGCGACAACAGGTCTCCTTCAGAGAAGTAGGCCACACAGTCAAGCATGTGGCAGGCCTTCCCTAGCTGGGAATGAACTGGTTATTGCTGTTTAGGCTTCTCCCCTCTGTGGCAGCCTGAACACCACGCTGAGCTTTTCTAGCTCATCAAGGATTGATACTCATGGCAATGACAAGATTATACAGTACAAACCTGTGCCTTGTAATTCTGTTAGGCACCTAAAATCATGTCGATGTGGCTTGCCCCAGGAAGCTGACATAGCACAGTAACAAGCAGCATGAGCTGTGAGCTGGAGCTTTCTGGCTATGGACTGGCTGATGTGGGCTTCCAGGCTAGTTCAGTGTTGTTTCTGCCATGAGCTTACTGCGGGGCTCCTTTCATTCAGGCTGTTTTACCCACTTTGGCTTCTGAAGGCAAGTGGGTTTGTTTGTTTTTAAGTTTCACGCATCCTAAGGATGAAATACTGTCCTCCCACAGTTAATGAATCTTTAATCTAGGTTTTCAAAAACCAGTTTCCTCCAATGTTTTTTAAGTTGCATTTTGTCCTTAAGGTGTGTGAAATCTTTTTTTTTTTTAAACAACAACACCAAAACTGTTTGCCTTCAGAAGCCGAAGCAGGTTGGAGCCCATATGAAAGGGACATTGGAGGCTTTAGAGCCAGTTTGGTTTAGTGGTTAAGAGCAGCAGACTCTAACCTGGGAGAACTGGGTTTGATTCCCCACTCCTCCACATGCAGCCAGCTGGGTGACCTTGGGTCAGTCACAGTTCTCTCAGAGCAGTTCTCTCAAGAGCTGTTCTGTCTGAGCTCTCTCAGCGCCACCTACCTCACAGGGTGCCTGTTGTGGGGAAAGGAGATTGTAAGGCACTCTGAGACTCCAAGTGAAGGGCGGGGTATAAATCCAATCTTTTCTTCTGTTCTGTGTGTTCTATCTCATTATCCTCCCCTAATTTAGTAAAGCAAGGATAACGGCCCATTCTACAGGGCTGTTTGGATTGCTGGGATAGTGTACGTACAGAACTTTGAACCCTTAATATTTATGGACCTCCACGTCCTTAGCATCCTCTAGTAGTGGCTGGAAAGTTCAGCCTTACAGTGGAGTGACTTCTGTTTCTGTATTGATCCAGGAAATTATGCATGCGCTGAAGATGACCTGGCACGTTCAGTGTTTTGTTTGTGCTGCCTGCAAAACACCTATCCGCAATCGAGCCTTCTACATGGAAGAAGGGCAGCCGTACTGCGAGAGAGGTACAGAGGAATATGGTTATGTAGTAACTCTAAGGTACTGGGGACTCTACTGGGAACTTTCCAGGAGGAAAGAAAACCCAAGGGATGTATCCCTTGAATTTTTCTTTCAGCCTTACAAAATTGAGTGAATACTGAATATCTGAATCTTCCGCTAGGATGGTGCTGGATACCGTAATCCCAAAACATCCTTTTCTGGTGTGGAAGAGAGCAAAGGGAACAGCTGCTGTTCTTTGTACGTTATAGAAAGGAGCCCCAGCTCGACTTTGCTGTCATGGGCAGCAGGGAGAGTTCAGGGAACAAAACCTTAATGGTGTTGTCATGTGACCCAGGTCTAATTGCCCCTTAGTGATGGTTGCTGGGCAGTGCCAGTTCTGCTCAGTTGCTATGGAGATGACCGGCTAGTACCTGCGTCACATAGCATGCTGGGAAATGTTGTTCTCTTCCTTCATGCTGGCTGGCAAACACTGCCCTTTCCTGGAATGTTCCATTGGGAGCTTTATAGGGGGAGAAAGACTTCACAAAAATGAAGTCACCTCCTTCCCTGGGCCCACATTATCTGATATGATGAAAAGAACTGGGATTTTCCTAGATGAATGAACGGTTGCCTTTCATTGTAAATGGCAGGGTATGCATGATTCTTAGCAGCAGTATGCATCCTTGGTTGACAATAAGGGTTGTCTGCCATTTCCTCACGTAGCCTTCCAACCCAGCAGTAGCACATCCTCTCTTTAGGTCTAAGAATAAAGAGAACAGACAGTGGGGCCCAAGCGGAGCTGTAAAGGCAGTGGGGGAGTTAGAGCTCAAGTAGCCATGGATCAGATAGAAAAGGCTGTTACACTGAGTAAGACAGAAGTAAACCTGTATAGACAACGGCAATCAAGGTCTAGGTCAGTGTTCAGACAACCCCTTTTATGAATTAATTTTTAAGTGTTTCATTTACTTAGTTTTCCTCTTTTGGGTATAGCTCAGCAGTCAAGCCAGCCTGTCCTTTAAACCCAGGGGAGACTTATGCCCATAGAAGCAGGATCCTTCATCACTTGACCTTCAGATTTGAATATCATTGCCCAAGCAAAATCAGTCTCCTTGTTCCCTCTTCCTCCTACCAAGATTATGAGAAGATGTTTGGAACCAAATGCCGCGGCTGTGACTTCAAGATAGATGCCGGTGACCGCTTTCTAGAGGCACTGGGATTCAGCTGGCATGACACTTGCTTCGTCTGTGCGGTGAGCGCATAACATTTTTCACTTCCCCTCCCCAGCTCCCTGACCAAGTGGACTTCAGCCAGAAGTCTTGCTCTGCTGTAATTCAAGCACAGTTCACGCAAACATGACTGGGGAGAGATCATTCGTAGGCAGTGGTAGCATAAACCTTGTTATCAGACATGAATTCATATGATGATGGTGCACTAGCTATTAATAAGCATTGCTCCCTGGTTTCTTCTCCTGCCCTCAAGGAAAGCAGGAGATGATGGTGGATATGAAGAAGCTTGTAGGCCCGCTGCAGTGTATGTAGGTGGAAGACTCAATCCGAATCTGAGAGAGCATACACCACAGAGCTCCTTTGGAGGCCAATGAGGTGGCTGGCAGTGATGATGGCAAAAAATCACCCCCTCTCCCCCCCGCCCCACGCATGGACATGTTATCATTGTGTCAGCGGAACTGCTAGACTATTTAAGATTATTCAGAATTTGACTTCTAAAATTAAACCCCAGAATGAGGGTAATTTGGCTATTAGCTATGATGATTTTGCATGCTCTTTGCTGATTAAAAAAAAACCCTCTCAGATCCGATCAGACATGGACTCCAATTTTAGTTTTGATCTAGAAGCAAAGTGTTGGATGCGCTGTCTGTTCCAATTTATATGAGTAGTTTTTTGTCCTGTTTCCCTGACTGATATTGACAGAATCCTGGGGATTGGGAAGCCAGCCACCTATAGCCAGGACCTTTGCCCACTTGGTCAGTTAAATCTTGTGGGGGTAAAGTAAGATGTCCTCTGGCTAATACTATTAACGTTTCATTTAGAGAAGGACTTTGAAAGAAAGCTTTTGAAAAAAGCCAATTGGCTTACCATAATGAAAGAAACCCTCTTTTGACAGAGAAATCATGACCAGTTATCAGCCTGTGTCAGATTTGCCATTTGTAAGCAACATAATTGAAAGAACTGTGGTGGAACAGCTCCACTGGTTTTGGGATAACACATCTACCCTTGACCTATTTCAGTTTCACTTTAGGTTTCATTTAGAGAAGGACTTTGAAAGAAAGCTTTTGAAAAAAGCCAATTGGCTTACCATAATGAAAGAAACCCTCTTTTGACAGAGAAATCATGACCAGTTATCAGCCTGTGTCAGATTTGCCATTTGTAAGCAACATAGTCTGTGGTGGAACAGCTCCACTGGTTTTAGGATAACACATCCACCCTTGACCTATTTCAGTTTCACTTTAGGTCTGGACACAGGCAGCATTAGTAGCTCTGTTGAACAATCTCAGTTTACAGCAGAATAGGGAAAACACATCCATGCTGACATTTCTTATCAAAGGCAGCAGATATGGTCAACTGCTCATTTTTGTCGAAACATCTTGGGATCAAACTGGGGTTGAAAAGTATTGTGTTACTACTCCAGTTCCTTCTTAGATGGGTAAACTCGTCGAGACATCTTGGGATCAAACTGGGGTTCAAAAGTACTGTGTTACTCCCAATGCTTCCTCTAAGCTGTGGAGTCTTGTGAGCAAAAATTCTACTTTGTGAGCTACTGACATTAAAGTTGTGAGCGAGTGATTTGGCTACTGCATCGATTAGTTTGCTCTGGAGCCCTCCTTCCTGAGCTAAAACAAAAATGTGTGAGCTGGAGACTAAAGAACTGTGAGCTCACTCACACTAACTCAGCTTAGAGGGAACACTGGTTACTCCAGTTCCTTCTTAGATGGGTAAACCCTGAGAGGAGTCAAGGATGGCTTGTTGGTGCTGTGGGAGTTACCCTGTGAGATTCCACAAAGGCTGACTCTCTGGCCAGTGTTGTTTTATCTATGTCAGACCTTTGAATAGAATTGTCTGGAGCTTTGGAGAAAGGTGTTACCAGTATGCCGATGACTCCCAGCTCTGTATTTCTTTGAATAAGCCACTGAAAACAGCAGTCTCTGTTCTTGGACAGTGATTGAAGAGTAAAAGGCTCAAGCTGAATCCAGACAAGATGGAGGTGATGCTGATCAGTAAGGGAAAGGTTTTAGAGGGAATTGTCTTGCCAACCCTAGACAAGGTGGTGCTTAAGTTAACAAATTCAGTAAAGAGCTTGGGAGTCTTATTATACCTTGCTTTGAGGTTGGAGGAACAGGTCAATGCAGTGTTTTATTTAAACTTCACTAATTTGGAAACTAGTTCATGCCCTACAGTCTGCTTCTGATCTGTGCCTCCGTAACTTCAAGACTGGAGTATTGGAATGTATTCTATGTGGGGCTGCCCTAGAAGGTGATTTGGAAGCTTCAATTATTACAGAATGCAGCTGCTAGTTAACTAGAGGTCAATTTTATGTCATCGGCATTTGCTGCCTATTTACTTTTGGGTCAGATTCAAGGTTCTGGTTCTTAGCCTACAAAGCTGTGTTTGGTCTGGGGTCCACATTCCCAAAGGACCATTTCTCACAGGATGAATTCATGTGCCAAGGTAGAGCCTCTTAAGGCTTTCTTTGAAGTGTCCTGTTCCCACAGTCTCTTAGTTCTGCCACACTTCAAGCATTTTCCTCCTTTGCCACAGCACCTGTTCTTTGGAACAGTCTCCCAGGAGCAGTCAGGAGGTCCAGGCTAGCCTGATCCCATCAGATCTCAGAAGCTAAGCAGGGTCAGCCTTGGTTAGTATATGGAAGGGTAACCTCCAAGGAATACCAGGGTCATGACACAGAGGCAGGCAATGGCAAACCACCTCTGAAATGCCTTTGCCTTAAAAACAAGTCTAGCTCGCCACCTAGTGGTGCATAATGCGAAAGAGGTAGAACTTGTGGCTGCCAGATAATCTTAGTATCTTCTGGGTATTCTTCACACAATGCTGTATGATAACTAATCAGTCAGGACTCAGGAGTATCCCACCTTAGCACCGTTGTGGTGGCCTTGTGAAACCTTCTTGTTTAAAAAGGCTTTGAGGATAGCTGAACGATCGATACAATGTTTATGCAGGTTACAAGTAGTGGAGAGCCAGCGTGGCGTAGTGGTTAGTGCTGGTCTAGGATCTGGGAGACCCAGGTTCAAATCCCCACTCTGCCATGGAAGCTCGCTGGGTGACTTTGGGCCAATCACACATGCACAGCCTAACTTTCCTCATAGACTTGCTGTAAGGATAAAACGGAGGCAAGTAGGATGGTATAAACCAGTTTGGGTCCCCATTGGGGAGAAAGGATGAATATACATGAAATGCATTATTCTGTATTTTAATATTGTATTTATAGTGGGGGGTTTTATCTGTATGTGGTGTGGCATTTGTAAGTCACCGTCAGCTACTGTGTGAAAGTGGGGAAAGGCTGTGTGAGTGTGTGTTATATTTAATTTAATTTAAAAAATCTAGTCCCTGCACCAGTGTAGAGAGTAGAGCTGCCCTGCAGATCTTTTCATTGCCATGTGGCAGTGCTAGGATCTGGGAAGCAACCAGTGCCAAGGCAAAGCTTTGCAGCTGATGCTGGACTGTGTCCGTAGTAGAAGTACTACCATTCTTCGCTTTTTGTCTCTGTTGTTGCACTGGGAGGGGGCAAACTGCTGCTTGCCTCTGTGAGCATTTGGTCACCGATTATTCCCTTTTTTCACAGATCTGCCAGATCAACTTGGAAGGAAAGACGTTCTACTCCAAAAAGGATAAGCCTCTGTGCAAGAGTCATGCTTTCTCCCATGTGTGAAGAGGGGAAAGGGGGGGGGAGGGGAGGGGGTCCTGACTGCTCAAGCTGTTGCCCAGCCCCTGTATTTCTTTTTCACCACGTTTTTGTCTTGTCCTGTCTGTAGAGCTGGGCCCCAGATCCCTCACTTGACAATCATTCCTAGCTGGGGGTAGAATGCTCAGGGTTCCCTTTGGGAAAATTCAGCTACATGGATTCAGACCATTGCTTTTTAATACATTTTCATTCTGCACCAAGTGTCAGGCAGTTAGGCACTGCCCATTCTAGCCTGGGGTGGGGTGGTGGGCTTAGTGCCCTTAGCCTATAGGACTTGCCTACGCCTCTGTTACTTGTGTAGTTTCAGCCAAAGAGGGAATGGAATATTACTGTATAGCTGAAGGACTGCTGGTGTTAGTACTGTTGCAAAGTAGGCATCGTTCGAGGTGGTTCTGTTCTGTCTGGGCTCATCCACACATTACAAATTGACTGACTCTGGTCTCGGGAGTTCCATGCTGGGAACTTAATTCCCAGGTGCTGTAGTCCCTGTTTGGGATCAGGATTGTGAGACAGGGACTTCAGGCTGTGCCATTTGCCTAACTTGAAATGGCCCAGGGGAACTGCTTTCCCCCCACTGGGGAGGCTTTTATTCACTAATGGCTACAGAGAGGTTTTCCCAAAAGGGAAAATAGCAGCTCCCATTTTTCATCTGGGAAGACGACAGTGTGTGTGTGTGTGTGGGGGGGGGAGTTGATTCCTCCTCTCCCCCATGTGGCATGGCCCTGATCCAAACTGGGTCCTCACATTGGAATTTACATTCTAGTAGGTAACTCTGTGCCTATATCTGATACCTTATGATGGCCACCAGGAATGTATAGCTGAGGCGTATGACAGCAAGTGTTTGCATACCCTTTTGGGTAGCAGCTCTTCTCAAAGCTTGACTCTGAATGGGGCTTGTTATCTTTGTTCCCTGCTTGCTTTGCAGTGAAATAACCACATTCTCCTACTTTTGCCTTTTCTCCCCCAGTAAGGGAATCTAATAAGGGAATGATCCAGGCTGGTTTTGTAATGCCTACCCTTTGGCCACATTTGGCACTTAACAGCAGAGGACCACTGCCAGCCATGGCGAAATCGCTTTTCCCAAAGCCAAGGGGGAAACAAAGTACCCTCCCCACCCAAAAAGCTTTACCTGTTACAAAAGTATTAGCAGAGAAGACCCTGTCTCCAGGGCTGAGCATGGTGCTGTAAGCTGCAGCCAAAAAAAGTAACTGAAAATAATTAAGATGCCATTGGAGAACAGAGGTGTTGCAGGATCCAGGCTCTTCTCCACACCAGCACTAGCTGCTTCTCTTGCATCATGAGGTAAACATTCACTTCCCAGTACACGGTGCTGCATCAGCTTGTAGCTCACAGCCCTGGGCTGGATGTGGCCCTGAAGCTTCCTTACCAAAGAGTTATTACTATTTTGTTTGTGCTGTAAGACTCTCTCCCAGGACCGTACTGTCCGGCTGGGTGTCTGTCATTCTTTGCCACTTCAGTGGTGCCTTTAGTGCCTAATAAATATGCCTTTTGAGTCTTTGTGTCAGTTTTGGTTATTTCTGTGCTTACACAAAGCATTGTCTGCAGCACTGGAAGGGGGGAGGCTGCGTGCTTACCATCAGTGGGCTAAAGAGGTGAGGAAGTTTAAAAAAAATAAAACTAGTCTTATTTCATCGCTTCCTAAGCCCTATCGTTGTGCTCAAAGAAAAACAAAAGGGGGTATTTTATGAAAGTATGAGACCTGTGGCATGAAGAATTCAATATCACTGTAACTAGCAGCTGTCCTCATGTTGGAAAGTGACAGCTGCAGAACGTCTTTGGGTGGAATGGAGGTGCTTCAGTTCGTAAAATGCCGGGAATAAAGCACAGAGCAGCAAATTAGAATTGCTTGGCTTGGTCTGGGATATTCTCGCTGTCAAAATGGGCCAGCGGTTGAAGACATCATATCCCTAATGGTATTGGGAATTATTAAAGAAAAGCAAATGGGGAGGGGAGCGAGCTGTGGTCTGTGACTGAAAAGCGAACCTTTTTACTGTAGTGCCTAGCCAAAGTATGTGTTGTGTTGTGTTTAATAACAAGTCAGGTATGGGTTGCTCAGACACAACTCACTTTCCCTGGAGCCACACAGCAGCTGCAGGGAACTGCTTTTTAGAGGACCAATGGGATTTGGCTTTGCCTTGGGGCTGCAGTCTGGGGGAAGGAGGGATGCCTGGCTTCCCCTGCTTGCCATTTTCCTGGGTCAGAATAGCCCTGGAGTTCTTGTTTGCCCCAGCACATATGCAGTGCCATAAGGGAATAAAACAATAATCTCAGAAGCCATTTTGGTAAAGGGGGGGGGCAGGAGCCCCTCCTCTCCCCAGACAGTAGTCCTGAGCTAAACTGGGGCCCTATGGTCCTTCAAAAAGCAGTCCTCTGCAGCTGCTGTGTGGTTGCAAGGAATACAAGTTGGTTCCAGAGAACTCATATCTGACTCACTGAAAGCATAATGTACTGTTTGGCTGTCCGATTTATGAGAATGGTGGATGACCACAGTGGAGCTAAAGGCAGAGAACTATCAACTAATGTCCTTTCAAAGTTATGACAGGCTTTACTAAGGTCAAAGCGACCTGGTAGGAAAGCATACAGCGGCCCAAGATCTATTGGGAGTGCCTCCCTGCCCCTGACACCACTATAAATTCAGCAGTTCGAAAGCAAGAAATTGCAAGTAGATAAATAGGGACCACTTTGGTGGGAAGGTAACAGCGTTCTGTGCGCCTTGGTGTTTAGTCATGCTGGCCACATGACCACGGAAACGTCTTCGGACAGCGCTGGCTCTTCGGTGTGGAAACGGAGATGAGCACCGCAACCCTAGAGTCGGATTCGACTGGCTTTCGAGCAAGGGAACCTTTACCTTTTTTACTAAGGTCAAAGTGACCTGCTAGGGAAGCATACAGCGGCCCAAGATCTATTGGGAGTGCCTCCCTGCCCCTGACACCACTATAAATTCAGCGACACAGTTTTTTTGGCCAGCAGTTGTCATACAGTCCTGCTTTCCCCCCGTCTTCTCTTATGTTCAGACATTTCCTCCCTTTTTGTCTTTTAACAAGTCATTGTGCAATTCCTGATCAACTTGGAGAAGTTTTCCATGCACCCCTTATTAAGTATCTTAGTGAATAATGTGCTTGCATCGGTGTACTGCCTGTGGTTCTTTTCCGTGCCTGGTGTAGCTTTGTAGCCACCATCCAAAATTGCTTGGACTTGGTAGTTAGGTATCTTAGTGAATAATGTGCTTGCAGTGGTGTACTGCCTGTGGTTCTTTTCCATGCCTGGTGTAGCCGCCATCCAAAATTGCTTGGACTTGGTAGTTGCTGATCCTGTATTTGGTGGGAGCCTTCCTTGCCGATTGCAGTTTTTACTGTCGTGAGCTGGTTGGTTAGTGCAGTAATGAGCATCTTATCAAGCTGGCTTCTTGCTGGCTTTGATTTGTGTCATGCAGAGGTCCATATGTTGCAGTGGGGGGAGGGTGGCTGTCGAATCCACCCTAGTGTCTTTGGGGCTGTTTGCTTGTTCTGTTCAGCAAGAACAAATTTTCTTCTGCAGAGGATTAAGGGAGGAAGACAGATTTTTCCAGGGAGGTAAAGCATCATCAAGGCCACAGACAAGATAAATTTTGAGGCCATAATCACAAGGAAAGTAATTAGTTGATAATCTATAAGCAGACCTCAGGACAGATGGAAGCCCCAGCCGGACTCATTCATAAATTCTTCCTTCAGAGTAGGGAGGCCTTATGGCAGCTCACTACCAGGACTTCTCTTTTGTAAAAGGCTGATATTTTGGATACTTTTGCATAGGCGTGTCCTGGTCAGTTATTAATTCTTTGCTTGGATTTGCCAGCTTTGGAAGCCCTGAACAGGAACTGGTGGACAGTGTTGGAAGTAGGCGGGTTTCTTTTCCCCCTGAGACAAGGCCATCTCTGTAGTTTCTCATGTTTAGAATGCATTTTGGCTAGAAGCTTACATGGGCTTTCGCTGGAGGAGCCAGGTGACTGAGAAAAGAAATTCAGTGCTAAGAAAAACCTCACACTTGAAGAAGCTGTGTGCTGGCACCTACTTCTTAAGGTGCCATGACAGCCCAGCTAGTGCTCTCACTGTATGGGAATGAGGCAGTGTCTGACTTCAAGGTCTTCTCCGAAAATGTTTTGGAGAATCAAAGCAGGAGGGCTGACAGCAAGTTGTTGTGGGCTTATGCCAGCCATGATTCTGAGATATAATGGGTAGCCTGACTTTTTGCTGACAGGATCCTCAGTAGAAAGATTAGTAGGGGTTCTTAAATCCCTGATGTCATGACCGGATACCCTTTTCGGTATTGACTAGATGCTGTTTGTCACTCGGCTTGCTTCACATTTATGTGAATCCACCTCATTGATATGTATCTGCCTTCCTTGGCAGAGAAGGAAGTTGTGCAGATCTTGCTAGCCTTGCTATCACCAGCTGAATACTAAATGGGCTAAATGTGTTTTTTCCTCTCCTTGCAGGTAGTTAAGCCTGGGTGTGCCCAGTGGCACAAAGGCAAGAGTCAAAGGGCTCTTGGATCTTAGCTGATGGCTCGCTGCCTGGGGCCTCCATTAGCCAGCCCATTGAATCAGGACCCACCCAGGATGTGTTAGTTTTCTTTAAATTATTATTCAAATGGATTGCTTTGTTGTTTTTTTTGGAAATTTCTATTAGGCATTTTGGATCTCTTTGTGAAGTGGTACAGAAATGTCCAAAGAAATAACTTAAGCACTGACTAAATGGAATGCCCCCAGTAGCACTTTGCTTTCCACCACACACTAAATTGAGTGTTTCAGAAGCTAGAAAAGAAAGAACAAGGATGCAATGCTTGGCGTACTTGCCTAGAATGAAATTCTAGTGGATGTGGTAGAACTTGGTTCCAAATAAACAGGCCATAAGGTGTTGCTGGATGTACTCTAGAAAATTATGGCTGAAACTATAATGGAAAACTGGTTCCTCTGGGAGTATTGGTGTAATTCAGCAAAGGTGAGGTTGAGTATTGCATTTCCCAGATCAATATGCATTGTGAAACATGTGTTCCCCCATATTTTTTATGTGTGGCACAATGCCCTCTGCGCTGTTTGGTGAACTAATGGGTGAAGGAATCTCTCCAGAGACAGTCTAAGATCTGCCAGTCCTTTCCTGACTCACAGTATTAGAAACCTATTCAGGAGGATAGCAGCCCAGAGCTCATCAACATCTTGTATCTTATAGAAGAGAATACAGTTGAGAGCACAGAGTGCCTTTCTTCCCTACAAATAACCATCCACAACTGGGGTGAGAGTGGAGTTCCTTTGACCCTTTCTAAAAAGTTTTAAGGGCTGGGACTGAGGCAGCTGTTTGCAAACTAAAGCCTCCACCTCGGGTGCCTTCTTTTGAAATCCGTCTCTTTGACCCTCTGAGTGCGGGCCTACCACACTGCTTAGCAGATGGCTGAAGCCGGGCGCCCACCTGTGTTTTAAGTCAGGAGGCGGAGGAGGTGAGTGGCGGGTGCCGCTGGAGAGATGGCCAAGGGTAGGGAGGCGTGCGCCGGCGCTAGGACCGGGCGTGTTAGCAGGCGGAGCCTCCGCTCCTATCCCGCCCGGCTCGCTCGCTCGCTGCTACTGCTGCAGTGTCTCCGAGGCAGGCAGGCGGCCTGTCTCTATCCGTCTCCTTCGCTGGCCTCCCCCCCGACTAGTCCTCGAAGCAGCATCCCCTTCGCCGGCGGCATGGCTGGCGTGAGCTTCGGCGCCAACCGCCTGGAGCTGCTGGCCTCGTATCAGGAGGTGATCGCGGAGGACAGCCCCACCGACTGGTAAGCGCCCCGGGGAGCCGGTTCTTTGTCCCCGCGGTGGGGACGGGGGGCGGTGGCTACAGTCGCTTTGTGCAGGGGGGCGTGGGCGGTGTCTCCTGCCCGCCTCCCTGCTTTCCTGGAGGAATTGTAAGCAATCCCCCCCCCCCAAAAAAAATAATAGTACCTGGTGGTTGATTGTGGGGAATCCGCGCCCTCCCACTGGCAAGATGCCCCCAAAGCTGGGACAGGGCGGCGGGGGGAGCAGCCGGGGGAATGAAGCCGTTAGCAACCCAAAATGGTGCATTGGTAGCGCGGCCAGGCCGGGAGCTGGGGCGAGGCTACTTTTGTGGGGCGCACAGAGGGCACCACTTGAGGATGCTCGGGTAGCCTTCTGTATCGTTCGGGGGTGGAGGCAGGGAAGACATTTAGAACGACATCCTTGCCCCGAAGCCCATGCTGCTCTTTTGGGAGGGGACAGTTGAAGGAGGCTCCCGGAGCGCCCTTTTCGCCCCCACCCCCACCCCCCGGTCCCATTTGGGGTTTGAAGGGGCACCTTGGCACGTAGATACTGCTGCTTCCCCACGGCCAAGACGCCTCCTTTCCATCCCACCCCCACCCCCACCCCCGGCACATCGTTTCGGATGCGGCGGGGGCGGGTCCCCGGAGTCTCTTCCACCTGCTCCTGCCTGCAGAGCCGTCCCGAGCCCTCCGTGGTCCCCCAGCAAGCCGGTCCGGACCATCCGGCTTGGTGCTTGGCCCCGATGCGCGCGGATCCCGCGGGCGCTGTCTAGCTCGGGCCTCGGGTCCCCCCTCCCTTTCGGGGTGAAAGTTATCTGATAGAGAGACACTACACAAAGGAAGGTGGGGCTGGGCGAGGAGGGAGGCGGGGGTCTGAAGACTTGAGGGGAGGGGCCGCCGGGCTTTGAGGAGGATGGGAAGGAGGGGTTTAAGGGGTAAAAAGCGAGGGGGGCCCTCCGCCGGCAGCCCTCCCAGCTCGATTAGAGAGAGGGCAGGGCCCATGACTGTCGCATCCTTCCATTGTAGCGGCCGAGGCCTGAATGTGCAAAACGCGCCTGCATCTCCTTTCTCTTGGTGGCGGCGGTGGGGAGATCTGGCTCAGGCCCGTCCTTTTCACAGACTCTTTGAGTTCAGGCGCTTTGCAGAAACGACATTGGTTGTGTCAGCTCTTGACATTCTTGGGCCTGCCACTATATAGAGAACCCTTGATTTGCAAGTAGCCTGAAGGGGTGAAACAGAGCCTTGGAGCCTATGAAGCGCCCCCAAACAATAGGCATGTGCTCCATTTTTGCATCCGCCTGAAAGGCTGAGTAAGGCCTCTGTGTTCATGTTTGCAGCCAAGAGAGCTTCGTAGTTGGAGCCACAACAGTCACCATGTTCTCTCCTTGCCTTGATAACAACAGGAGACTTATTGCAATGGATGGCGTCCACTTCAAGTTTTCAGAGTAGCTCAGGGGTATGCCCTGATGGTCTCATACGTGAACCTTTTCTGAAGGAGAATTCAGAAGGAGTAATCACCTAAAGCAAGGGAACAGAACCTGACTTGCCACCTTGTTTTGAATGAGATTAATTCATGTTCCTGCTACAGAGCTGTTAATCAGGTACCTCACATGTGCCACAAGGAGGAAAAAAAATATTTAGGGTTTAGCCTGGGTCTAAATCCATGTCTGCTTGCACCCTTCAATAAGTTGCTTTCTTTCAGCCATCACTTCCCCATTTTAAAAATAGTGACCGTGTTCACTTTTGTTCTGTGGATAAATGTGTTAAAGAGGAATAATACCCTGTGAAGTTTGGTTTGTCTGGCTTACCCAGAAATGGGGGCAGGGGGGTTATTTAAATAGCAGGCAATATTTAATAGGACAACAATATAACCAGCAAGCCTCACTGGACTGGTCATTTTTTGTATTGTTAGGAACCTTGAACCATCAGAATAGGAGTGGGTGAAAAAAAGCAGATGTATGATCGACAAGGTTGCTGCAGTGCTTTTTCCAAGAAATATTGTTCTCCACTTTTTCACAAGAGCTACTAATTCAGAACTTGATCACTTGTAGCAATGTTTTATCCTGCATTACTGACTCTTGCTCTCAATCTTTAATGAAATGCAGGGGTTTTCTTCCTTGCAATTGCTAGCTTGAGTCTCCTGGGTCCCCTTCATACTTTCCTTACCACACCCTGCCCTTGATATTACCCCTCGCTGTCTGCCAGGAGCTCTGCTCTCTGTATCTCTGTTGTGGTTTTCTCTTTCCATTGCAAGCTCTTTGTCTCCGGAAGGCCAGATCCCTGTAAAAGTGCTGCGCGCTTGGCGATCCGCCACTTCAGGGGCCATTTCTCACCACTCCTTCTTGACCAATGTGGCCTCTTTCCAGATGAGAGCTTTCATGTTATAGTGGCTGCTCTGCTGGCAGGGTATACCTCTTCATGCCCAGAACTGGTTTCTTCTGACCTGATAAGCTGCCCCTTCACCTCTGCTGCCATGTTATCTCTGGACCTGCCTACATCAGCAGTTCATGGCTTGTTGAGGGACAGAATAACCCCTAGTTCTTGTCAGCTGCTGCTGTGCCACACGCTTTGCTTGCTTGTAGTAAGGCATACAGGTGGCCAGAGTTTGGCTGGTTATTAGAAAACTGCATCAGCGTTCTGCCCCTCCACTTTGATAATGATACTTTATGTTCTCTTGCCAGCATGGATGGAGTGCTGTTATCTATTTTCTCCCCCACACCCATGCTGAGGCCCAGCTTCGTAGCACAGAGAGGAGTTCCCTTGCCTCTTTGTAGACTACTTCCCTCCTACTCTTCTGTCCAAAGCTGAAGGTCTCCAGCTGCTCCTGCTTGCCTGTTCCTTTCCAGGCCCAGGCAGAAAACAAGTTTTCCCCCCCTGAGAGGCATCCCATGAATCTCTCTCACATGTACGTGGCATCAGTAAGGAGAGGGTGCAGTTAGAGCACATAATGTATGAGCAACTTGTTGTGGGGTGTATGGTAAGAAGGGTGGGGGGGGCACATGGGAAATGAAGCCAGCATTGGGTGAAGTGCAGTTCTGTGCTTGGAGTGGCTTGGATCTGAGATATGCAAGGTCACTTCATGCAAATGAAGGTCAGGTAGTGCCGAGTCCCAGTGGTCTCCAGTCTTTCAAGACCTTTAGCCACTGGGTGGCAGCATGTGACCCCTGGGATGTAGTCATGTGAAAGGAAAAGGAGGAGCCAGAGTGATGATCCTATTAGTGTGTGTGTGTGGGGTCACTAAACAGACATGGAGCATTGGGGGTCTTGCTGACTGTCTGAGATGGGGGTGGGGTGGGGTGGCTTGGGCAGACTTGTGCTGGGAGGGATGCAACAGAAAATGCAAGGGAGAGCTTTTGCAAGGAAGAGGAAAGGGTGTCTCCAAATCTGCCTCTACTTAACAGGAATCCTCTTCTCTGCTGAGTGGCTTCACCTTACTATCTTCCGTGTTCCTCTCAGTTTGTGTCCAAAGACGGGCACTAGCAACAGACATTTCCAAGTAATAGCCAAAAAAAGTCAGTTCTTTAAGGTCTCATGACCCAACCTGGTTGGTTCCTGTGACCCTCCTGAGGATCAAAACCCATAGGTTGAAGACCCCTGTCATATCATTCCTTCCCTCAGTACTGACAGAGTAGAGAGGGCTGTTTTACAGGGACCTGGCTCTTTTTATACCTGCTCACAACTTTAATGCCAGTAGCTCACAAAGTAGAATTTCTGCTCACAGGACTCCACAGCTTAGAGGGAACATTGTTCATGACCCCACCTGGTTGGATCCTGTTACCCTCCTGAGGATCAAAACCCATGGGTTGAAGACCACTGTCTTATCACTCCTTCCCTCAGTTCTGACAGAGTAGAGAGTGCTGTTTTACAGGGACCTGGCTCTTTTTAATGTTTTGCTTACATTGTAAAAAATATCAATGGTAAATAATGGTAAATATTCTTATACATGAGAATAACTGGAGAGAGTTCGAGGAGGAGCAGCCAAGCAAAGTTCCTGGGGACCTAGTGTAAGACAGTTGCATCTCTGTGGCAATAGCCCGATACTGAAGGGTGCCAGGTAGCTGCAGGTTTGGCCCCTGAGGAATCAGTTTGTTTGTTTGTTTAGACTTTTAGACTACCCTTCCCTACAGGCAGGGTTCAGGGCAGTTTACAACAAGATAAGAACAACAGAAAATCTAGAGTAAGTTAAAACCATAATAAAATACTATACAAATCAATAGAGGAAAAACCAGTCTGTTCCAAGGTGGCAGAAATGTCAGGAAAAATTGCACCTTCCCCGTAGCCTCCTAAGGGGGGAGGTGAGGGGAGGTATGAGAATGTCAGACTTAGTTGTTCTCCCCTCGCTGTCCTCACGTGAGGAATCAGCGTTTGTTTCTTTAGACTTTTAGACTACCCTTCCCTGCAGGCAGGGTTCCGGGCAGTTTACAGCAAGATAAGAACAACAGAAAATCTAGAGTAAGTTAAAACCATACTAAAATACTATACAAATTAATAGAGATAAAACCAGTCTGTTCCAAGGTGGCAGAAATTTCAGGAAAAATTGCACCTTCCCCGTAGCCTCCTAAGGGGGGAGGGGGGAGGTATGAGAGTGTCACTTAGTTGTTCTCCCCTCGCTGTCCTCAGCTGAAAGCCTGGCGGAACACCTCTGCCTTACAAGCCCTGCAGAAAGATCATAGATCCCACAGGGCCTGGATGTTCTCAGGCAGCCCTGGCCCTGGTTGAGGATCTCTCTCGGGCCAGGGAGGGAAAGGCCAATGCAGAAGAAAATCCCTCCACAGAAAATGAGGTCAGTTGTAGGGTCATCTACAGCTGGAGGTGGGTTGAACACTCTGGGCGTGCTAATGGATTTGTTTCCAAGGCAATGCTCAGGGAGAAGAGAGCCCAAGGGAATCCCGCGTTGGTAGAGCCAATTGCCCCCCCTTGGTAAACTGCTTTCAGGGACAAGGGCTGCACTTACCTCAGCTGATTCCGATCATACAGAATATGGTATTTGTCTGGCGCTTGCC